GCTGTAATGCAAACAGGCACAAACAGACTTAGAGAAAGAGACTGTATCTACTTGTCAGCGCAGGAAATGGCTTCTAGAGGAAGTGCTGTCACCAAAATAGTACAAACAATTCTGCACAAGCTATTCAGACATGCGGTCAGCTGGGGTCTGTTACTGGGAATCTAGTTTGGTTTATTCTACCCTGTCATAACACCAGTCTACCTCAAAGTGCCTGGTAGCATCAGCTGAGTGTGCAATACCTGACCCGCTAGCTGTTTACTGCTCAATACATAAACGTTCACGGCTGGCTTCCTGAACCCCATACACTGGATACCCAGAACAGGCCAGGCCTTCCAGTATTTCTCTAATGCGTTTAACTGAATCTGCTTTATTGTGTTACAGTATGGTGATTCTCAGTCAAATCTCCCATGGGGAATGACAGGATGAGAATAAATCAACTACCCTTGCTAGAATACATCCAGTACTGAGAAATGCCTGCCACCACCCTTCATTTAAAAGCTTGGACTCCAAACAGATATGAAAAAAGTTCAATTAATCTAACCACATATACTGCATATAAAAAAAGTATTGGATACAGCTCGTCTAAGAACCAGGTGCCTGGGTTTATTTCAGCTTCCTGTAGTTCCCTATACAACAGGACTCATGCAAGGAGAGTAAGAAACAGCGCTCTAGGTCACTGCACAGCATTAACAGAGGGAACATGCTTATATGAGAGGAGAGCATTAGGGTGCTGCTGCTCCATCATTGTCCAATCACAGGCTTAACTGCACTGTGGGTCCGGGGCCTAGATAATCCAGTGTGTCAGGGACTGCATGAATTGCAGTACTGGCAGAACAGTATTGCAACTGAATGCACCCCTCTACAAATGCAGTTCCTTCATGAAGTACCATAAGTGACTGAATCTGTCTTACTATCTGCAAGTAATCTCCTGCACAGCAGTGCTCATAAGGGGAGAAGGAAATGCAACACTAGGAACTAACACAATGCTGTCTGTGAGCATGTTACAGGAGAGGAGAACACAGAGCTGACCATGTTGGTGCACCACTGCACCTTGACTGTCAAATCACAGATTGATATGGGTTTTGCACCAGGCTGTACTCCTTTCCTGCATAGTATATCCCCCTTTAAAACCTCTACATTCCTTTCCTGCATATAATGTCCACTGTTATACCCTCTGCACTCCTTTCCTGCATATAATGTCCACTGTTATACCCTCTGCACTCCTTTCCTGCATATAATGTCCACTGTTATACCCTCTGCACTCCTTTCCTGCATATAATGTCCACTGTTATACCCTCTGCACTCCTTTCCTGCACATACTGTTCACTGTTATACCCTCTGCTCTCCTTTCCTGCATGTACTGCCTACCGTTAAACCCTCTGCACTCCATTCATATACATACTGCCCATTGTAATACACTCTACTCTCGTCTCTTGCACATACTCCCCAGTGTTATACCCTTTGAAGTTCATTCCTGCACATACTGTCCACTGTAATACCGTCTGCTCCCCTTTTCTGCACATACTATCCACTGTTATACCCTCAGCACTCTCTTCCTGCACATGTGGTCCACCTTATATTCTCTCTCCACTCCTTTCCTGCATGTGCTGTCCATTTTTATACCCTACGCATTGCTTTCCTGCACATACTGTTTACTGTCAAACCTCTGTACTTCTCTCCTGCACATACTGCCTGCTGTCATGCCCTCTGTTCTCCTCTCAGTTCAGATTTAAAGGTCTTGAAGGGCCAGCAATTCTAGTCGTCATTATAGCCTCTCCTCCCTCAGGGAGATTCATGTGACCCCCCAAGCCCTATTGCTGGCCTCTCTTCCCTTTCTTACCGATTCAAGCTGTTTCCAGCAGGTCTCGACGTGCTGCTGTGCCTTGCGACCCTCGTGGAAGTTCTGTGAGAGGAAAAGAAACACAATCATTACAACAATATACAAAAAAAATAGGAAACTGTCATAAAAATAACACGTTTTGCACGTATAACAAGTGTTTTAGAGAGAGAGAGTGAGAGTGAGTTATACATTTTCCCTGCCATGGCATAGGATAAAAGACCCCCTGACTGGTCACTATAATGGTGATTGCTATTAATAGGAATCCATCCTACAAAGAAAAAAAGATGGCTGCCCTATGGTTCATATCTGAATATCATTACACTTGGTTCATAGGTACACCCTGTTCACGTACATGTAAACTGAACTGCATTTAGTTTTCTAAAGCACTGTGTATCATAAACTATTGGCATTTTTTTTCTTTTTTAGTAAAATACTTATTTTCACTTTTTTTCAATCATTTGATGTATACCAACACTGCAGATCCCCTGCAGCCTCGTCATGTCTTCATACATGCCCTCCAGCAATTGCTGCATGTCATTTGTCAGGGTGTGTTTCCTGATACTGACAACTGCAGAACATGCCTATGCATTGTGTGCCAGTCTCCATTGTGAGAGAGAGCGTGAAAAGGTGACAACACAGGAGCACAATTGGGAAACAAGGACAAAGAGTTGTAACTCTGCGACTGAAAGTGTCTGAACACTAGGATCACTAGGTATTATTTTAATAAAAGCTGCAGATTTAAAAACACTGAAATTACTTTTCAAATCACATTAGTGTATTAAAGTATGAGATTTATTGAATGCATAGGCTGCCATTGCTGAACTGCTTCTGAAAATGCTAGTTGCTTGCCGTCTCTGGTATGCAGAGTGACTAAACCACAATAAGTATGAGGCTGGGTTCACACCTAGGCGTATTGAATATGCGCGTTTGTCGCGTGTTTTTACCGCGATTCCGAGGGCTACTTGGCTGTATCCCAATGGAAACGCGAGACCAAAACGCCCCAAAGAAGTACATGTACTTCTTTGGGCGTAGGCCATTTTGTATCGCGTTCGGACAGGCGGAAATACGGCAAGGTGTGAACCAGACCCATTGAATGCAATGGAATTTAGATGTTTGAGCGTTTTGTAGAGCGTTCGTCGAGCGTAGAACGCGCTACAAAACGTTCAGGTGTGAACCAGGCCTGAGGCACTTGATGTTAAATTTAGCATTCCTGATCAGCAAACAATGCCAGGTCAATGAACCTCTAGTGGGAGGTTGCTAGTCATAAATAGATAACATGCATGTCAGATGAGGACAGGCCCATCCAGGGGCCTGAGTGTAGCTCCGTGCATGTGTGTATATCCAGTTATAGGCAAGTCACACAAGACAGATCCATAGATTATGGCTGCAACTAAAAGAAATTATCTGATTGGCTAGATCACTAAATATGCAGCCAATTCCAATAAAGGGTCTATACCTAACATGAGCAGAAACATGCTTCATCCACCTCTAGAAGTCGGTTTGTATAACTATATAGTTATACAAACCAACTATATATATATATATAGTGGACTATACCATAAACCAACTATATATAGTATATAGTGAACTATACCATAAACCAACTATATATAGTAAAACTATATAGCAGAACTCTGGGCAAGCCAAATCGTAATCCTTGCAATGGGGCTACCCCTGCACTGCAAAGGTTCAGTGCTCATTTTATCTAGGGAGCCCAAAAAAAAAAAAAAGTTATACTCACCCGAACCTTGATCCCAGCTGGCTCCTGCACCGCTCCCTCCAGCCCGTCTCCTCTGCTCCAGCGATGGTACGACCCTTGGCGTCCTCACGTTCTATATGTTGTATAGAACATGATGACTCAAGTGTCCTTAGACAGATGGAGTGGAGGGGCAGAGAGGCTGAAGGGAACGGTCTAAGAGCAAGCCGGGATTGCGGTTCGGTCGAGTACAACTAAAGCATCACTAAAAGGTGCCCATACACTGTACGATTATCATACGATAATCGCGGTAAATATAATCGCTTGCTAGCAGTTGATATGTGCAAAAACCACCGAGGGTTTAATAACCCTTTAAAGGAGAACTATGAGGTGAGTGCTTTTCACTCACCTCATAGTTCTAGCCGACCTGTGACAATGAGACTGTCACAGGTCGGCTCAGTAGATCGGGAGGTGATCGAACACATACCGGCGTTCTCTCACTTCTCGATCCTGTCACGGCAGAGAGGATTTCCCCCTGGATTTCCCCCTCCCCGCTCCACCAGCGCTGACTGGCGGAACGGACGGGGGAGGGGACAGCCGGGCCTGCCTCTAGATAGGCAGAGCCAGCTGTCACTCACACGGCTGGGCGGATCCAGACATAATTGTCGGGATCCGATTCAGCTGCGGCGTCTCAGTATACCGCGAGCTGTAGCTTGCGGTATACTGAGCTTAGGGTGACGGGAGGACGCTAGTTTGGGTCCTCCTGTTACCCTAAGGAGAACTATGGGGAAAAGCCTTAACCTCATAGTTCTCCTTTAAGCCTTTTTTCTGCATAATGTATTTATTATATGTATTGTTTTGTATGGATGTTTGTTTGTTATTTTATGTTTACTAATAAGGTATATGTACAGCCAAAACTTTTTTTTTTTTTTCGCTTTCGATAGATTAGGGAAGGGTTGAAACCCCTATTAGGGGTTTTGCTGTTTGTGTCCCCATGCTGAGAATGTCCTTCACTTCTTGTCTCAGGCACAGAACAGGAAGCAAGAGGAAATCTCTACAATGAATGGGGAATTCCTGAAAAGATCTGGGATACATGACATTCAGGGCAGTACAGCTCACAGCACTCTTGCCTAGTTAAGAAACGAAAAAGTAATTGCCATTTTGTCAAATGAGGAGGTAACTAGTAAGAATATGCAATGTGGAGGAGGAGGTAAAAGATCCGCTTTAACACTTTAGAGATATTACATTCTATTTTATTGGAAATTTAGGTACTTTTCCATTTACAAGTGTTAAAGGGGTGTTCTGTTCAAACTGAAAGAGGAACCTTTGTTTGAGACCACCCAACAGAAATGGGGACCCTGATTAAATCATATTTGGGTAAATAGGATCACCCGGGGTATAAGCTCATGGGTGCAAACAGCAATAACACTTCTGGGCCCCATAGGTTCCCCTTTACTTTCCTGCTGTATACTCTTTATTTTATGCTTTCAGAACAACCCTGCATTTTACTTTGCTTCACATCCTTATTTCTGTTCTTCTATCTGCCTCTTTTGTTTCCTTTTTGTATGCAAGATGCGGGGTTACTAAATATGTGTTTCTAAATGTTTCAAAAAGTAAATCTGTCATTAAAGTGGAACTTCAGGGGGGTAGGCTGAGTGGGGAAAGGTAAGAACCGTCATTTAGTTTTTCTTGCTGTGTCTCAATTGGTAAGATGTATTCACATTTCCTGCTATGTCACTTAGACTTAGGGAAATCAGGGCACCATTTTCGCATAATGTTCTCTCTGTGCTTGTGTGAGTTTCCTCCACGTACTCCGGTTTCCTCCCACACTCCAAAGACATGCTGGTAGGTTAATTGGCTCCTCTCTAAGTTGGCCCGCTATGTATGCATGTGAGATAGGGATCTTAGATTGTAAACTCCTTGAGGTTAGGGACTGATGTGAATGTGCAACTATGTAAAGTGCTGCGTAAATTGTTGGCGCTATATAAATACCTGTAATAATAATAATAATAATGATAAAATCTCCCCAGCTCTTCGCCAATGTTAGGTCCAGTTTGGGAGGAAGCCAATTAGTCTACCTAAATGTTTTTGAATAATGGGAGACCTGGTGGAAACCAACATGAACAGGAGAACATACAAAATTAATAGTGTCCCAGCGGAATTTGAACCAGAGACTCAGTCTCTGGTTCAGAGTGCTGATCACCTAGCAGGCGTGTTACCCAGTGAAATGCCATCCGAAATGTTTCTTTCCTTTTTTAGTTGAATCTACAGAGATAGTCAGAGTTCATTCTGCAAACAGCAGATTGTGCCTCCAGGCAAGTTAGAGCTCGGCAAACCCTCCTTCCCCACCACATCTAACTCCCACCCTACTGACCTATAGAGAAATGCACACAATGCATCCTGGGAAGATCAGTGACCTAGAACCAGCATGTTGATATCAGATGCCCCATCTGCACAGGTTTATTACTGTTAATGGTTCACATTAGCAGTAAAGGAAGGATAAGGATGCCCCGGAGAATGCACCTTCATAACAAGTCAGCAGATTTGTATAGGTGCCCATACACCTGCCGATTATCGTACGATAATCGCGGGTGATACTGCGATCGTACGATAATCGGCGGGTGTATGGAAGGTGTGCGACCGTTTCTACTGTACGATCGCACGTCTTGTCTTCCGAGCACGCTCGGAAACCCGCCGAAAATCGTACGATTTTCGGCCGGTTAGTGGTGTAATCGGAAAACAAATGCCGAACGCACAGTGTGCGCAATCGCACACTGCCCACTCAGCATTGGAATCATTGGAAGCTCTCCCCTCGGCGGGGAGGGCTTGCGATGATCGTACGAGATTTTAATTACCTTAAAATCCTTTAATTACCTTACAACCATCGCACAACGAAAGTCGTGCAATGGTTGTAAGGTGTATGGCCAGCTTATGAGAGATGACAGGGGTAGGATGTTTAGATCTGGGATAAGTGCCCTCTGGCTTTCAGTAACTGGGTATCAGCTGTTGCAGCTGTTTGCCATGCAGGTCCTCTTTACTCGCTGAATGTGTAGCAGACAGGGTCTGTCTGATTGAAAACAGATCACTCTCTCCAGTCTTCAATGTAGAGCACCCATAATGATCTAAAACAAAGCGATTTAGGCTGGCTGATTACGGACTCCTGCTGAATCAGCTGAAATTCAAGCTGTGGCTGGCCCTGCAAGCACCAAATTATTGGCAGAATATTTACTAAGTTCTATCAGATGCAGTCACTTTTCTGTTATTTTGGGTGCAGTGGCTGTCTGAATATAATAGCCGGCAGCGGAGATTCCTCCATGCGCGCTGTTTATCATGGATGGGAAAATCGGGCCATGTATGGCTGGCTTTA